CCTTTCTTTCATCTTGAATTCCCTATATTTACTTTATAAAAATGTCACTTAATTTCCACATTGATAATTTAATTCACTCTGATTTTTGTAATCAACTTCTGCTTTCTTAAAAAATCTAAATATGACAGACTGGCAAGATTAGTTTTCGCATAAAGTTTTGTTCCATTTGTTCTTTACCGTTTCATCAATTCCACTGCTTCATCACAGAATTTGTTATGATACAATTCAGTGTTCTGCTTATATAGTCATGCCTAATCATTACAGGATATCTACCCGTAAGGTCTAGTAACATTAGAGTGAACACAAACAACATTAGAGTGAAATAATCTGGATTGAAAATTCAGCGCATTCTGGTATGGTATATTAGATATATGTAAAACATGCTGTATTTGGTAGGTGTAAAACATGGTATAGTGGGTATGTGTAAAACATGGTATACTGGGTATGTGTAAAATATGGTATAGTGAGTATGTGTAAAACATGGTATAGTGGGCATGTGTAAAATATAGCATAGTGTTTTGTGTAAAACATGGTATACTGGGTATGTGTAAAACAGTATAGTGCGTATGTGTAAAACATGGTATACTGGGTATGTGTAAAACATGGTATACTTCGTATGTGTAAAACATGGTATAGTGGGTATGTGTAAAACATGGTATACTGGGCATGTGTAAAACATGGCAGGGTGTGTATGTGTAAAACATGGTATACTGGGTATGTGTAAAACATGATATACTGGGTATGTATAAAACATGATATAGTGGGTATGTGTAAAACATGGTATACTGGGTATGTGTAAAACATGATATAGTAGGTATGTGTAAAACATGGTATAATGGGTATGTGTAAAACATGGTATACTGGGTATATGTAAAACATGGTATACTGGGTATGTGTAAAACATGGTATAGTGGGTATGTGTAAAACATGGTATACTAGTTATGTGTAAAGCATGGTATAGTGGGTATGTGTAAAATATGGTATACTGGGTATCTATAAAGCATGGTATACTGGGTAGGTATATTAGATATTTGTAAAGTACGGCATATAAGGTATGTATCAAGCATGGTATACTGGTATACTAGTATATCATGCAAAACATTAGTATATTGGGTATGTATAAAGAAAGGTATCTTGGGTATTTGTAAACCATGTTATACTGGGTATGTGTAAAGCATAGTATATGGTGTTTGTATAAAGAATGGTATGTTTGATATTTATAAGCATTGTATACTTGGTATGTAGAAACAAGGCATATTGTATATGTATAAAGCATGGTATATTGGGTATTTATAAATCATGATATACGGGGTATGTATAAAGTATAATATACTGGGTGTGTATTAAGTATGGAATACTGTGTATGTATAAAGCATGATATACTGGGTATTTATCAAGTACGATATACTGGGCATATATAAAGTATGATATATTGGGTACGTGTAACGCATGGTATACTATGCATGTAAAAAGCATGATATATTGAAGACATGTAAAGCATGGTATACTGAGCAAGTGTAAAGCAGGTATATTTTGGATGTATACAGCACGGTATACAGGGTATGTATAAAGCATCATATACTGGGTATGAATAAATCATTGTATATTGTAAAAATGTGCACATAATTGACTATTGAAAATATAAACACAGTATGTTTGCACATGTAATGCTAATGATCAACATGCAAATAATTACAAGTTTAATTTTGAAATTAATTTCGTTCTTAATATGTTTCATAATTATGAACTTAGTATATAACAATATATATGTACCTATATTACATGTACACAGGTTTAAAAAAAAAAATTGCGCATTATACCACAAGAGGATATGCAAACATTTTCCAAACTTTCTTAAAGGTAGAGGTTTCTCGTTTAACTCAAAATACACCCCCGACACACACATGTATACACATGAACACACGTACAACTCCAAAGACGAGGCCGTCATTCGGTCTAGTACAAAGACGGAACCGTCCTTCGGTATCATGCACTCTATACTAGTGGCATATAACAGAAATAAACATGTTAAGAGACTCACATTTATTCATTAATAACTTATCACTTAGGATCCACAAGCATTTAACTGAACACATATACACGATATTTTTTTTTTGAACGAAAATATTGTTTTTATCAAAATTAAGCTTAATTTTTAAAGATGTTTACAATAAACCGAGGCTATTTTTTTTTTCATAATCAGGGTGATTGTATTGGTAGCATATGCAACAACCCTTTGAACTGACTTATACAAAAATATATTATCTTGATTATTTATATTCAAAAGTAAGGTCAAAGTTCATAGAAGGCCGTACTTACATTACCATCATACAGTCCCTTAATCAGCTAATTATATTTGTACATTCAGCGCAACATTATGACCTATCATATCACGTAATACATCCATTATTAAACTTACATTTGATTATCCACTATAACGAGGTGCTAATTTTGCCTAGCTCTTCAGAGACCTTACATTTCCCATATCGATTTGCAACTCTGTATAAAGCGTTATGTTCGAAATTATGGTGAAGTAATATTTACATAGTAACAATGATATAGATACATTTTGTTTCCCTTTATGCTACATCGTTACTCGAATCCGAATCATGCATTTCAATTATTAACGGAATGCGTTTTCGCTCCTTTGTTAGCTTGTCAATCATTCTGCCTTTCCCTGTTTTGTTTGACCGTATCTGCAGATGAAATTAAGTTTTATGACTACAAACAACGTGGAGACAGCAAAATATTTGTGCAAATATAATACTTTTAAAATGTTTTCTTCCATAAGCACACTGCTTTGCATTGACAGGAGTACTTTCTAGTTAGCTGGATTTTCACTCAGTTTCAAAATAAAAGTCATCCCGGTAAAGGAAGCGGTGTCGGTGGATGAAAGTTCTTTTTCTACTGGATAACTCGGATAAGAATACGCCCTACATTGCGGTTAGTGTAATATTTTTTTTTTCCAGTGATATGCAACGATCTTGCTAAGAACAGTATTCTTAACTTAAACCCATGTTTGAGTTTGTCAGGTAATGGCACAAAAATCTTGACATGGACAAAAATCAAACGTTTCATATGCTTGTAGATACCAGGAATGCATGGCAATGTAAATTGAAGGTTTTACCGTTATTGGAAGGTACATTAATTTTGACATTAGTTTTATGTACGAACAATATTTACAGGCTGTTATACATCCAAAATATAACAGCAGAATATTTTTATACATCCAAAATATAACAGCAGAATATTTTGCAGTTTTGTACTATAAACCTATAATTACTTTGCTGTAATAACCTTTTCTGATGTGCTCGCTGCGATGAAGACTTGTGGCTGTATGTAATGCACCCCAGTAAAAATTCAGGCATTACGTAATACACCACAATAATTGAAGTTGTGAGTAATGCACTATATTAATAATACATGTTGTAAGTAACGCACCACATTAATAATTAAGGTTGTAAGTAATGTACCACATTAATAATACAGGTTGTAAGTAACGCACCACATTAATAATTGAGGCTGAGGGTAATGCACCATATTAATAATAAAGGTTGTAAGTAATGCACCAGATTAATAATTGAGGTTGAAAGTAATGCACCATATTAAAAATTGAGGCTGTAAGTAATGTACCACTTTAATAATTGAGGCTGTAAGTAGTGCAACACAGTAATAATTCGGGCTATAAGTAATGCACCTGAATAATAATTCGGGCTGTACGTAATGTATCCAAGTAATAATTCAGGCTGTAAATTATACACCTCAGGAATAGCTGAGGCTTTAAGGAATCAACCTCATTAAGTACTGCATACAAATAATAAGATACTCGAGTTCCTCGTGAATCTCACTGATAACAACAAAGCAAACTGAACAGATGTTCAACGTTAGTATACCTCAGCGATTATTTCTGAGCTGAAATTAATTGCACTTATGCAGTACGTTTTGAATGATGACCTGGTGATATGTTTTCTCGATAGGCATCAATTCATAAACATGACCTGACTCAATAGTGAGGCTAAATTATTAAAAGTTATGCAATCTGATTAAAATCAGATATCCTCTGGTTTACGAGAACCTCTGAGAGAGACCGCTTAAGGGTCATGTTTTAGTAACCTAATGTTATGATCATAATCACTAATTTTATTAACCAATCAGAGTCTAATATCTTCGAGTTTGGAGACGAGCACTATGGATGAAGAGCATTAACGTGCAACGAACGGTTCGATTCTATTTCAGATTTTCAAACAGCTGCATTTCCATTGGCTAATTCAAAGGTTAACAGAACATGTCATATTAAGAGGTCGTCGTCATATCTTCACGTAGGAGAGCGAGATCTTATTTTAATCATAGTGACCAGTTATGTATCTACAACTGCCAATTTACAAGCAATTAAGTACAAGGTAAATGTTCGCCTGCTATATCCTTTATCTTTAGAAAATCTGTATTATGCTACGAACTGAGAAAATAAAAAAATTAAATAAACAGTGCTTACACAAATACTGTACTGCAAGCCCATAAGATGTAGATTGTTAATGCATCATTAAATTTACCGTTTAAAGAGGTGCTGTTATCACTGTACAATTTTAAAACTAAAACAGTTAAGATCCCAATGTGCATTTTGTGCATAAATTGTCTGCCCCGCATGATGACTCCCCCACCCCACTGAGACAATGACATAATTTCAACATAAGCTGAATGTCCGGGTGGCCGAGTGACCTAACACATTCACCTTTACCGATCACTACTATCTCGCCGATGTTCATGTGGGTTCAAGTCTCAGGCTAGGACAATTTAGGTATGTAAGAGAGCTTGCCAGCAGCTTCCCGTGTGTATATTTTATCCACTGGATTTTTCAGGGTTCTTTCTCCATCATTTATGGTAGCCGCGAGGTATATCACATCATCTGCTAAAAATGACGTTTAGCCCACAAAAACACAGATTGCATGATTATCATTTGGGTCGCTCAATGCAAGCATTGACGTTACCTGATCTACAAGACTGCTCCGGTGGCCTAGTGGTTAGAGCGTCTGCCTCGGACGCGTGAGGTCGTGGGTTCGCATCCAGGCTGAATCATACCAAGGAATGATACTAACAACTGCCTCGTTTGGCGCTCGGCATTAGGAGGTTAGTGTTAGGACTGGTCGGCTTGGTGTCATGATAATGTGACTGGTTGGGACATGTCTGCGGCATGATGCCCCAGTACTAGACATCATTATAAACTGCCACAATGCAGACATCACAGCGGTTTGACTGAAAAGTTGTTAAAGTTACTTTAAAAATAAAAAACACACACACACGCAGACAGACACACACATCCTGACCTACAAATCTGTTCTTAACCGTCAAAAGTAACAGTGGGGTAAGCATTGAGTGATAATAGTATAAATTAATGCCAGCACTTGATTAATTACAATGAGCTGCAAATTCGTGGCTTTTATAAACTCCTATATAAAATAATCACCACTTTTACTATATTAAATAATAAAAATCCTCATGCTGCAACACTTTCTGTCGAGTCGCTGTTATGGTTCTTTGCAAGTCAATGGGCTGATCATTATTTCTTCTCTGAGTCATTCATTTGAGATTCGGATATACACATTTGAAATATTACACAGATGCTGGATGCGAGCTTGATGTTGAAAAGAAAAAAAAACAAACAAACAAAAAAAAAACAACAAAAAACAACAACCCACAATCATCTAAAGGAAAAAGTTCATACCGAGGCACATAATTAACTCAGATTATCCCCATCACCCGTTTTGATATAGGACCCTTCCTATCATACTATAAGAATGAGACAGGGTAAGCAACTTTCAAAAACTTCGTTCCACGCCTAATCATCGATTACCTTTAGCTATTTCTGTCTTTTAGAGGCACACGACCATAATCTATGGCTTGCTATGCTCCAGAGATATTGTTGTTATTCATCAAGCCATCGTTGTTTTTTTTTTTCTGAGTTGCAACAAACTGAATTTACAGGCTCCGAAACGGACGAACTTGTATTTTATAATAGGATAGACAGTGTTCTATGTCAGAATGTGTCATGAGGGTAATCTGAGGTAATGTTGTCACTCGGTATAACCTTTTTTCTTCAGATTATCGCTTTTTTTTTCAACATCAAACTTGTACCTGTGTACAGCACGTTTGCATAGTCTAAGAACGCTGGAAATGGGCATAAAAAGTTCTTCAAATTTCTGTACATGCCTTTTAGATTGTAGAGTAACATCCAAGTAACTGCCTGATTATTCAGTAATAGTTGAAAAAGCCCTCCACTGATATGTATTTGGAAACATTTTGACGGGCTAAAACAACCTTACACGATAACCGACCCAAGGGTTTTAGAGGCCTAGGCGAATTATAACTTAGACGCCCCGCTTCCTCCTAATTTAACGCCCCATAAAGCCTGCTACCTAATTTATCCATATGATTGCGCCAGCACCGCCTAACACTGAATAATATAAACAAAATATATTCGGCTTGGAACTGCCTGTGACTCGTCACATTCTTACCCTGAGAGATACTTATTTGAAATTTGCAAAAAATTTAAAGTACATCATTTCAAAGACAGTTTTTAGAAGTTACTATATTTATCAAATCAAATACAAAAAAATATTATGTTAAAACATATTGGACGGATCTAGTTCGACTTTTGTGATGCTGATTGTACCCAAGTACAGTTGAAAGGTATTATCCTCTCACACCAATGACTGTAAAATAAAGAAACAGGACACTGAAATAATTACAAGAGTACATAGTATAGACCCAATTGAAAACAATGAAGAACAAATAAATAATCATTTGGATTATTCAATAACTATGAAATTGTTTCAGTCAAACACTACCGTGCCTCTCGGCTCCATGGTCAACCACTATATTAACATTTCTCTTACATATGACCCATGTTTACTTGACATTTCCTATGTTTTTAACCCGCTATTCCGGCGCGATCACTTTAACCACCCCGGCCTTCCATGCTCACACCTTGGCACTTCTTCGGATGGTCTTTAATCTCTTCTTACTATAGCGGTTGTCACGGTCTACCTAGTTGGACGGATGTTTATCCAACTGACACTAATCCGGTGTTCGATCTGTGGACAAACGCTGCGAGCAAGAAGCCAAGCCAGATGTTGACGCCAAAAAGTTCTTTGTGCAGAACAGGGCATCGTAAATTACACCTGGGTACTAATCCTTTAGTAGGACATCAAAAGAGCCATTTGTAATAAAATGATAGGCAATTTTTATTGACAGTTCCGCTGATTTACAACTTGGGAATGGTTAGTCCACCGCATCCAATCAGAATTAAGCTAGTGGGTGGGCCTACCTCTAAGTTTCGAGGATATCAAACTGACTCCATCCCAGAATTATTTAGTAGACCGAGGCAGATTACTAGGTGATTGAACGATTAAGGCTACTCCGAGATACGCACTCCTAAATTTGGCGTGAATCGCAGGGGAAAGATTTGAACAAAGAAAGCTTCAAGAAGGTAGATATTCGTTTGATTTTTGACTCATACATTGCAACGCCGTAAATGTAAGTACTAATATTATGTTTACGCAATTACTAATAGTATTGTTAGAATGAAGAATTACTTTGTAGAGTTTCATTTGTGTACTTATTTGAGATTTGTATTGGAGTTAGGAAATGATTGATGTAAGCAAGATTATGAATGTATGTTTGAATATGTTCAGAGCTTAGATAGTTGCATATTTATATATTTGTATGATTTGTGATGCAAAATAAATGTGTTGGTTATTATGTACTGATGTGAATCAATTATCGTTGCCTGTATACGAGTAATTGATATCGTGCTTTATGATGTGTTATTATGTTATGATTTTACATTGTGTTTACCATTCATGAATGTATGAGTATTTCGGTGGGATTGGATGCGTGACCCATGAAATTTGATAGCCTTATCTGATGATAAGTTATCGGGGTAGTGTGAGTTTATGTGCTAAGCAAAATAGTACACCCTCCTTGTGTTTTATAGGAAGCTTTCCGGGTGGGATAACTTCAGTTAGAAGGAGAGTCCCGAGAGTCTGAGAGAGAAGACTGAAGTAAGACTGTCGGTACAGTCAGGGTCGACGGATTGGTGTCGACGGTTCGACGAGGAAGTCGACGAAAAGGGAAGTGGAGTTGGAGAGGAAATTGGAGGGAGCAAAGGAGAAGTAGAAGTGGAAAGGAAAGTTGAAGGAGTAAAGTAGGAGTGCAGGAGAAATTAAAGAGAGACAGATGAATAGAACCAAGGACAGGCCGAAATTCTCACACTGATTCAAATGATGAAATAGGCACAAAAGGGTCGAGCGATTGGGAAGCTCGCATGTTGAAATTCTATTATTAATTAAATTGTTTTATTTAATTCACCCCTTTGTACTTTGTATTTAACTGTTTAATTTCACCTTTTAGTATTTTTGGATTTAACTGTCGGCATTGCTGACTGGGGGCTCAGAACCATATTCACCTACTTAACTTCTGAACCATAATCGAGCCTGGGTGGGTGCCATACCTAAATAAATATTGGAAACACCCCACCCCATTTTCATATAATCAAAATCATACACGGGTATAAAAATAATTAAACCCCATAAACTCTAGGGTATAACTAAACCCCCTACCGTAACAGCGGTCTCTAGTTACATCTAGTTAGTCCGCACTCAGTTATCCACACCTAGTAATCCAGACCAAGCCATTCATAACAACAGTACCTACTGTTCGAGTGTTCAGCAAAGGAAGCAATTTGGACAGTATCAGTTGCAAAGAATTTTACCTAAGTAATGTATATAAACACTCCTTTTAAAGTGTGGATGTCATGTCTGTCCACACGTTTTATGCAAATAGCAGAATACCAATCACGTACGATGAAACAGAATATGTGCCCGACAATATTGGACTGTCGTTCGCACATCGGCGCAAACCAAAGTTATGTTGCAATAAAATAATATTGTCCCGTCTCTTACAAAGTAAAATCAAAATATTGCGCACATGATAAAAATCTATTTTTACTGACAATATGACGTCGCCTTTCTGTTTCCTGTGCTGTGTAATCCCCAATAGCGTACTATTTTAATTTTGTTTTATTAATAGAAGTGTTAAACGTTGTGATACAGAAGACATCGGGACGATGCCACGTTTTATTCGTTTGTTCCAAATTTCACCAAAATGGTTCTAAATCCGTTATATTACCGTAAATCTTCTACCACATTTCCAAAATCTTCTCAAATGTGCTGCTATTCTGATAACAAATACAAAAATAACATAAACTTTGTGCTATTTGTAAAAGCGGAAATACCTTATGATGATAGTCCGAGTCTATTAACCCATTTTTTTGTACCTCCCCCTACCGATTTCAATAATAAAAACCTTTAATTTGATAAAACGTGCAAAAAATTTAGTCAATTCATTCATTGATTTATATTTTCTAACCTGACTGCGAGTTGAATGGCTATAACAGCGTCATCGTCTGCGCGTTTATGCTTGAGACCCATTTCCAGTTCCTGGACTAGTCCATTTTCAGCAAAGAGGTGAATACGCGACTAAAGATGTACATACATATGTCGTCTGCTTCCGATATTTACAGTGTCAAATCAAGCAAAAGAAAAACTAGCAACACAAAATTTGCCTTTCACGTGCATTTAACAAGCGGTTTCATTAATTTGTTCATGTGTGCAGAGGAATATAATTCCAAACTCAACGTTATGGTAATTTACGGAATTATCCGGCAGCTACTGAATAGGATGAATTACGTCACTATGTTGTCGGATGAAAATAAACTGCCCCATAGCCTGCCATAGCGTACAGAATATGTCGCCGTGTTAGTATGGATAGTCCGTTAAGCATGAAAGGTGCAAGGGGATGCCATTATAGTGTCATTCTGGTCACAGTCAAGTTAGAAATTATAAATCAATGATTTAATTGACTTAGTTCTGTGCACTTTTTATCACATATAACGTTTTAGTTATTAAAATCGGTATGGGGGTACAAACAAACGGGGATGTAGCGTCGGACTAGACTTTGTTTTACTAGTTTTGTACAATCCAGCATGGTCGTTGTATTCTGCAATAACAACGTTATAA